GTGTTTCACATTTGAATGTATAATAAATGGATTTTTGACTATGGAATTGAGGATATAGTGCCTTTGGCCACCCAGATTCCAGTTTGCCTGGATCATCATTGGGATCTGTGTCCAAGACACCTGCTCTCACTCATCTTTCCATGCTGTGAAGGCCAGCCCACTGAAGCCTTCCTCATGGTCTCTGCTCACCTCTGCTGATACTGTGCTGCTTAGGATATCACGTGTTTTAAGTCCTTGAGAATGGTTATATGTCAGTGGCAGGGGCACCTTCTGGTAGGTGATTTTTTGGCTGTTCCATCATGGAGCAGACATCATAGTATTGTTATGATTGTACATGGAGTGGCATGTTTCACACCCAAACTGTGTTAGGTGAGGATTCTAGGTTGCAACCCTGCTTCTTTACCACACCCTGGAAATGCTTCTGTCTTAGGTTTGTTTGCACCACCATCATTACAGGCAGGAGGAAATTCTTTTTTTAAAAAATATTTATTTTTTAGTTTTCAGCGAACACAACATCTTTGTTTGTATGTGGTGCTGAGGATAAAACCCTGGGCTGCATGCATGCAAGGTGAGCGCGCTACTGCTTGAGCCACATCCCCAGCCCAGGAGGAAATTCTTTCACAACAGACACAAGTGCACATGTGGCCCACTCTTGACCAAAGTGTCCTTGAGTGGAACATGACCTTATGGTAGTGAACTGATTGCTTTGCAGTAGGTTATTGACAATCTTTGCACATTCATGTTGCTATGAGATTTAGATATTAGTGTCTACTGTTCATTAAGAAAAATGTTTTGAGACTTATAAAACTTTGTGATGTTGTTGTTTGGACAAGGTGACATCTTTGGGTCATTGAGTTATATCTAAGACATGTTTCATCTTTCCCCTTACCTCATTCTGCTTTGACAGTAACCTTGAGAAAGTATTAAATGTTTGTGTTTATTAATCATTGTGCGTGTTTTCTATTTTATTAATTTTGTTATGGTGAGATGCATCTGCAAATATATAGTTGTTCTCTTTGTGTAATCCCACAAGATGAACGCAATCCCCAGTTCACAAATTGTGGCAACTCGAGTGTCAATTTGTCTGTATGCTGTCTGTAGGGGAATCTTCTTTGTGATTCATGCTCAGAAGTCATGGGTGGGGACTGTTCTAGGCATTTCCTTAAAGAAGGACCAATAGACTTTCAGAAAGAATCAAGAGATCAGTGAATGCCGTGTTGTCTATATTAACTGTGTAGGCACAGTGACCCACTGTGGTTGGCAGAATCTCTCTAAATTGCTGAGTTCTATGATTGCAACAATTTCATACTCAGCTTTCTTTCCTAAGGGTAAATACTATTGGGGATGCTAATATTAGGTCTCCACTGCAGAGAAGGCTGTTAGGACATG